TCAGTATCGTTTGCTCCACACAGAAATATTTCAGGAAGCCCTCAAGAGGCCCCAAAAAGTCAAAAAACGGCTGCGTATTTATATTTCACATACATTCATTGCTGGAAAGGAACCAGAGAAGGTAGGAACTGTTTGGAACTTGCACTACTTGCTTCATTCTGCATACATGTTCTCAATTCTTACCGTATCAGGAAGGCGACGAGGGAACTGTTCCAATGTGGGAGCTACGCGTTGAAGGCCGACTGATAGAAGACCAGGTCAGCTAAAGAATGAATTTTGAACGTTGCCCTTTCAACAATGATGCGAATGTTGTTAGGGGTTATCACGTTTTAAACTGTTGACTGAGATATCAAAAGAATTTTTATAAACTCGGTGAAAGGCGATAGTCACTGACTATCAGAATTCATCATAATCATGCGTGACTTTTCTTGTTCTAGAATATCATTTTTGTAGACTAATGGAACAATCAATGCCGCAGGGCACCCTACTCCAGCTCCGCCTGCACGTCCTTTACCAAAGCGGAAGTTCAGTTCTTTTTTCAAAAGCCTGGTAAGTTCATTTAAAGATTGTGCAATAGTNCAAGTAATGGAACCTGATTGGTTTTCTTGTCATTATCGATCGTTTATGAAGGGAGTTTCGGACATATGGTGCCATAATTATCCAGAACGCAGCGAATGAGTGGTTCAATGTCACAAGTAAAGTAAAGTAATACTGACGGGGAATATGAGGCAATAGAGAAAGCGATATCGAGTAATTGTGTAAAGCCAGCCTTTTACCGAAGGCCATTTTCTCCCACCGAGATTAGTTTTCTCCCTGTGGAAGTCATGTAATAGGTATTGATCCATCCCGAATTTCTTAACTTCCAACTGCACTCTACTCTTAACAGGTAAAGCTGCTGCTAATATTGCATTTGAAACATTTTCTTCTTCTTGACATTATCGTAGGTCACTGTTGCACTTTCGGGCTGCGTTTTATTTCCGATATATGCATCTTTCAGGTGATCGAGTTAGATAAAGATATCTACGGCCCAGATAACCATTTGGTTGAATGGCATCGCACCCCAACTACAAATGAAACGGACGGTTTTCAGGTCAGGACTTTCAATAGAGTTATAAATCAGATCTGTTTTACAGATTTCATTGTCAACTGATTTCGTTGAAGCGTGGTGTTGATCTAGCGTACGTAAACAGATACCATTCAGGTGAAACGACCAGGAGACCGACCTGTGAAATGCACTATTCTACTTCTTCTCGATTACCAACCAATGAAATTCAAACTACACCCTCGTTTAGCAAAGGTTCTGTGATGTTCTATCCGCTGCAGCCCCATACCTTTTCGATTCTCATCATTATTTTTAGGTCCTGGGTATTGCTGCTGAAACAAGGCCTAAAATCATTGAAGCTCTCTGGCAGTACATCAAGACACATAAACTACAGGTAATGTTGGTTCTAAATAGCAGTAAAATTTGACGGGCTTGTCGAATTTCGAGGTAATCGATTGCAATTTCGTGTAAGGCCCGTGAACATAAGCAGCAACGCTATATTGGAAATAAAACAACTCGTTATTGTAGTTATTACACGCTGAAGTTGACTAGAAACTTCTAGTAAACTTTGCTTATTTTTCTTGTACAGGAGTTTCTTTTCCGCGTAACATTGGACTGGAAAGTGCTTCCTGATTCTAGTTTCAAGTGTCTGGCTTTTGGATACGCCCTTCCCATGTTACCCCTCAATAACTTGCAACTTGTCTTTTTTCAGGATCCTGTAGATCACGATACTGTAAACAACGACCCCTACCTCGAGCAAGTCTTCAGCTGTAAGCGAATGCGATTCATGGAAATTCCACAGCGGTTACATCAACTTTTGCAGCAACCTGATCCATTGGTAAGCCTTGAAGCTATCTCATTTATGAACTGTTTGCAAATTACGGCTCATTTCAGGTTCTCTCTCACATTATCAAGCACAATGAAGGTGGTGCCGAGAAGAATACTGCTTGTTACGATATTGGTGAGCTTTATGATCAAAACTCGCTCTTATTCTGTCAATCAGTCGCTCTGTTCTCAGAAGTGGAACCTTGATGTCAGAAAAAAATATTAGTGACGGAATCACGAGTTATACGTGATACGCATTACTAAGGAAAATGTGTTATGGTTATTGCAATCGCGATAAGCTCTTTCTGTGTTGCGTGTACTGCGCTAATCGAAGCATCCCAATCTCGGAAAGTACTTTACTCGTGTCAATCTTACATTCCGAACCTAACGTGAAATTCCCGTGAAACCACTCGATGTTAGGTTGGGTAGTGTTGAATGGCTCAACCGTGCTGTCGGTGTCCATTGCATGCGTGAACATGAATTGAAGCGAGTTACAGGCTCTTTCTAAACTTTATGTTCGTTCCTGGCGTCGCGCAAAATTCGCATCGATCGAAATCGCGCTGCCGGAGTCGTTACCATTCCTGTACACCGATTTTCCCAGAGTCGTGCTTTTTCCATGGTATAGAGGCATTACGATATTGGTGTTTGCATTTATGATTCCTGGTCCCCTTTCTCAAAAAACGATTAGCTGCTATACATGACTGAAGGAGTGGCACTGAATCAGCTATTTTGCTGATTCAGTGACACTCCTTATGTCATGGCAAGCGGGATTTCGAATTGTGCTTCATTCCAGACTACAACAAAACATAATGCAACGGTCTAATCAAGGTTTTGCTCCATTTTTTGCCGTCATCCTTCGTAATCGGAGGATACTAATATCATTCCAAGGGATGAACTGCCAAAGGGAGATATAGTCTTGAGAACCCTAACATATTTATTTTATTTGTTCTGGAGCTCTATGCTCATAGCAGCCTGCAAACGGCAGCTGTTGCTGTAGGAATTGCTATGAAAATGGGGGTGAAGATCGAATTTGGGGATGATATCAATCTGAGCCTAGCAAGTTTTACATCTTCTAACCAAATTTGTTCAGCTGGAATCAAACTCAATGAAGAGTGGAAAGGAGCTCCAATCTGTGTTTGCTGGCCTCGCATGTCACATAATACTGCGCATTCAAGCACCCCCACGTTTTTGAATCAAGTCGTTTGCCTGAAAGTTTTTCAAAAGAGGGTTGCCCAGTCCTGGAAACGTTATATCTTTCATCTTCCGTTACCTAAGCTACAAAAACAATGAATAGAATACTTCGAGTTTTTCAATTGCTGATGGCGGCCGTGTTTGACCGGTACGCGCGCCTTTTTTGGGATGAAACTAGCCGTGTTATTCAAGCCGAAGTTCTACCGAAAAACTGCTGTTGATTTCAGCGAAAAAAGAGTACTCGAAAAATTGGTATTGCAGATGTTGAAGTTGAAGATCCTCTCAAGCAACATATGGCTGCCTTTGTACATGCCCAGGCGAACACCCAGGACATCGCCAATCTCGATCAGAAAATCTACGATGTAGTAGATCAGGTGAGCTGTAACCAGATATGATTTTAGTTGACAAAATGCTTTCTGATCTTTATTGGTACGAGTGTTCATTCCAGATCAACGAGTGGAAAACGCGGCGTGATTTCTATGTACGATTCGCCGACAACCCTCACGAGTTCATTAGGAAGTGGTTAGTTAGTCAGAGCCAGGACTTGAAGGTATGTCGATTTGCAGTTAAGATCTTGACACCGCCTTTAACGTTGCCTACAATTAATTTGGTTATTTATAGACCATGACCGAAGCTAGTGGGGAAGGTGAAGCAGAACGGCGAGCAGATCACTACTACAAACCTGAAACTCAGGAAGGCGTTTTCAGGTAATAAAGTTCTCAAATCGTTCGTTATCGATCGAGTGAGTCCACAGCTTTGCTTAGATTTGGAATTCTACTGAATACATTATTTACGCATGAAAAGCTTCTTTAAAATTCTTGATCTTGTCCTATCATTAGAAGTCTTTCTCAGAAGTGGATTGTTTTTCGATCACCACTTCTTTGGTCTCCCCTGAGGGTTTCCTGGTTGTTGGCCAGGAACGCTAAAACTTTTGGCTGACTTTTTTCCAAGTTCCTACTCGAGGGATGGAACACTCCAATGTGCATCACCATCCGAACCTAATAGAGCAATCCGACATATAAAATGGTCGAGGATTCGGTCTGCATAGCACGGTTGAGCAAATGAAGAGGGAAGGCTGTGTCCGTTTCCTCTTTCTATGCCTGATTCGCGTTTGGAGAGAAGTGGAGAGTTTTTAAAACTCATCATTCCTCTTATTTCTGATTATGACCGCCTAATTTGTATTACGAGGGTTTTCTAATGCATGTTAAGGGGAACAGCAGGGATAAGCACTTTGATTCTGAGCGAACTTGAGATTAGTACCAGCGCAATGCATATTGATGGTGAGACATCGAAGTCTTAGTGTACCATTTCTTCATGTGTGCGTTCTGCAATAAACCTACTAAGGTTTTAGAAATCTGGGTGACGGTACTTCTCCCCGAACTTCCACGGCAGTAGTTCCGCGGCGATTACCATATCCTTCCACTGGAAATTCAAACCTTCCCCTTCATAGCGCGCAACACGATTTTGGGAGAGAAGTCTCCACCCTAGTGATGTTGCTGACAGTTGAAAGATGCTTAATCCAAAAAATGGTGGCCAAGTTTTTGGCTGATTTTGGTTTGGTCGTTTTGGCTGGTGCCAGGTATAATCGATTGCGGAATGCTGAAGGATCGCTTTGATAGGGATTGATCTCGCTGAACTTGATCCATCGTGATTGTATTTTACTAATGGTATATACTAGCTCGAATTTCCCCCTTTGAACATCTTTAGTTGTCAATTTGCACAAAGCCTTGGTAGGGAAATAACTGTATTTTCTTGGCAATGCAGATTATTGAGAACACGTGTGAAGTCTTACCCAGCGTTATTTTTTCCTGTTTCAGGTACATCTATCAGAAGGTGCAACAAAAAAGAGCTGAACTGGAGCAAGGTCTCGGCGTAAGAAATAACTAACTGTTTTTGTTATTGGGTAATTATTGTTCATCACCGTATTCATTGTCTGTTAAGATTAACATTACTTGGCAAGTTTAATGATACTACTTTTTGACCTCTTTTTTTTTAATCTACAATGAATTTAGTCATTTATAATATTACATTTGGTCTCATTATTTGTTCATAATTCGTGAGCCTTGTAATTTTATGACATCATTCAGTTGAATTTAATTGTAGCTTAACTTAATTATTTATTTGTAGTTTGATTAATAAATGTTAACTGTATGGTGATCTGCATGGATTGGAGTGAATTTAGAGTAGAAATAACTCACCAGTATTTTTTTCCTTAACCCATGCTCTGTACTACACATTTCCTCCTGCTTTCCTTACACTTCATGCATTTTTTCAAATCTGTCCATGATAGTACCGTATTTCGTGAATGATAATTTTCTAACTAATTGATTTATTGTTTTTTCTACTTCTATTGCAGGTGTTTGCTAATACAATAATACGTTAATCTCTCCTAAATACGCTAAATACGTTAATCTGTCCTCAAGTTTTGCATAGATGGGGTTATGGTATTGACTCGGATGAGTTTAAGACTACTACGTCTGCGTTTGAGATAGGATTGCCGGGTTCAGAAAATGTGTAATGTCGAGGCGAAAACAGATGGTACGTGTGGTGCGTTTTTGTAAAGATGAGTAATCTCAGTGCTTAGCGTTCAAGTTGTAAACTAGAATTTGAGTTTGCTCGCAATAGCCTGCAAATGATCTATCGAATGAAAAATTAGCATGCACCATACTTGCGGCGAACTTGAAAAGTAATATAACGTTGCGGTACCACATAGTTTTGAACAGATATGTTTGATAGTTGGGATTTGGACGGATCCATCCATTTATTTCATTAGAACAACGGAATGCAAAAATAGGGGTTTTAAAATAGTAAGCTGATTTTTGTAAATTCAAAAATAAAAGGAATCTATCAGTGGGTTATTTTCGTTGAGTGCTCATTGAATAACGTTGCTTCTCGAGTTTCCATCGAAGTATCGATTTATGGGAGATGTTTCGAAATGTGCCGTGCTAATGAAGTTACGTTTAATTTCCGTTTCATTAACAAGAGCTTGAATTTGGTCAGGAGCTCTGCCCTTGAATTTTCCTCAAACAACATTCATAGAAATAAGGTGTTCAGAATGTGAAATCTTCAATGGATTTTCGTTTCTCATGGATTAGCTATGTTTATTGCGCACTGAATTCAGTATTTTTTTTCTAGTTTGTTGTTCCCTTTTTGATATAAAGATTTGGGATGCTACGCTATGCTACCATCTTAGTTGAGCAGGTATTGACCTTAATTTCTTTCAAACTTCGAAAGAGTGAAACTCATTAGGAGGTCAAGTAGTTTGAGATTTATACTTCTTCCAATTGAAAATGTTTACGTGGGACAATACTGTGTAAGCTCTACCTCAAACTAACCTTTAAGCTTCTAAAAGTGAGCGTGAATGAACCCATGACCCCCTCATCGTAAGTGTCGTGCTCAATTAGGTCACAATATGACCCTATTTAAGTTGTTTTTCAAAGTATACCCTTCGAATATACTCAGCAACTTAGCAACTTACCAAGTCTGATCTAGTATTGTAGCATGGGGATGCGGCGATCAGGCAGGGTCTTCAAGTTGGGCGCCTGGTTTTTCCATTGAGCGAAGGGGATCAGTCCTTTTTAACATCGAAATTGAAACTGAATTATTCCGCGTTGGAGCGGGAGTTTTTGCATGTACTTCTTTTCTTGTTTACTAGATTATTCCCTTCTGTATATTCTTTTCGTGGTGACTAAACAACAAACTCATTATCATAACAACTTTATTATAGATTGTTGTTCAACATTTAATGAAGAGGGTGCGTGCTTAGGAAGGTGGGGCAGCTACGTATTAAATGTGTAAGAAGTAATTTGGGTGGGGTTCCGCTTGTGAGAGTCCCTTTTTTGAAGTGTTGCCCAGAATCTAAGAATTCTTATTTCCTTCCAGAATCTCTCCTGTTTATACGTAGGTTTTTGGCACTTTGCAGTTTCCTTCACTAAAATTACACCGCGGGCCGCTGGCGATGAGTTTTCCTTATGTTTGTCTCTCGTTGTCGTCTCACTGAGTGGATGTTACACTTCACTGGCTCCACTGTCCTTCACATCAGCGGCGTTCTCAGTACTCCATCACAAGCATATGGCTCGTTCGGCAAATTGCTATGTTTCGGTGGTCACCTGCTCCACTCACATAATTGGTTAATCATGTCGGTTTATAATAGGGGGTACTCCAGTATACGGAAGGTATAATTAGGTTTATCAGGCCGATTACTTTATACAGTAAAACTATTTTGTTACTTGAAGGGAATTTACGCGCATAATGATATCCCACCTCTTTTGCTTTAACTAGCCGTGGTTAGCTCATTAGCGAGGCTACTTCGCCAGACATTCTAAAAACAAAGTGCCCAGGGATTGATTACACTTATTTTGCACACCCTTTAGGTTGACTCATTCCAGTCGTTCACATCCAATAATGTTGCTTTGGCAAAAGTCTGCCTTTTTTCAAGGTATTTATGGTTTTAATGAACACTTTCAATGAAGATTCATACTGTTCCCGAAATGCAGTTGCAATTAACCTAGCTTTACTCAAAATTGGCTACCAAACTCGCCATGTTGCCGTGGTATTTGGCTCTTTCAAGTTTTTGATACCCTTCCACTACTCATTTCCTGACTGAGCAGAAATCGGCGCACGCAAAAAGATTCTCACAGTCTTTCGCAAGTCAATCCTAGCTCAGCAGAAATGTGCAATTTCGAAAAGCTTTTCGCACCCTTCGCAAGCTGTTATCTAACCCCCTGTAGATATTTCGATTACAGAGCTCAAACTTTTAAGAGGATAAGTTTTCTTTTCGATCAGTTATTAGGTTGTAACATAAGTTCGTAGAGTTTTTCACAAAGATTTCTCTGAACAAAAAGCAATAATTGCAAAAATAAACCATTAAATAAGTTATTATAATAATCAGCCAATACACGAATTGTTTGGCGACCATCTTCCTTCAATAGTGCCTTCAGACGCTCTTGGTCGAATTCTGCAGGTCGTCCGCTTCGAGGCGTGTCTTCAAGTTCAAAGTCGCCTATTTCAAGTTTTGCGAACCATTTTTGTGCAGTAGACACACCTATGTAAGACACCTTCCC